TCACAACTTGATAACCTCATTTGGAGACACAATGGAAATAAATAGCCCACTGGAGGTCAGATACACTCACTCCCTGCGAGACATTCCTGTTAACAAGCCACGTGGAGCTACACTGATAGAGCCAGAGCCCTGGAGCTGGAGGAGCCACATGGAGACGCACGTCGGCACTGAGATGCTTCTACCACCACTGGATTCACCAAACTTTCCACCCACTGGTCTGCGTGATCTTCCTGCATTTGGTGTCGTTGCATGGCTGCGTTGAGTCTAAAGAGGAATTTATGGACTAATATCAACATGTGGGTTCAGGTACCTCTGGTTGAAACCAAACATCTATCTCTTGGCTAGCAGCCAAGCACGCGAACTATTTACATCACTCAGCGATCCCAAACACTACAGATAAATCAAATCGACATTGTTTGTCACCCACCAAAAACAATAAAAATAAAACGGTGATCAAAAACAAAATACAAAAAGGTACATCTAAGTTCTGGCACATTATCAAATTAGGAGTTAAAATATGACCTCTATTACATGCTATTGATAAAAGCTCACTTCAAATATAACAAGACAGGCTGTTGAGAGCAAAATCAAAAAGTAAAGAAAAGTTGGGATGGCGATCATATACAATGAACTACAGAACAAAGAACATTATCAGAGAGATGTTAAACTCAAAGCCACCAAGTCTATTCCAACTAATACTAAAGCAATTAGGGAAGGACTGCCCCGTGAGTGTCTAAGGCTGTGTATCAGATCATCTTACAGAAAGATTACAGAAAGATAATCTTACTCCCATGGAGTGACTAGTGATTTCAAATTATTGACCCACCAGGGTTCAGTGATAAATAAGTCAAATCACCAAGAAGACAAAACAATCCTAAATGTGTATAAACCAACCAAAAAAACTACAAATATATGAAGCAAAACTGGTAAAACTTCAAAGGAGAACTAGACAAAAGGGAAAAAAAGAGGACAAATTGACAAGTATAGTTAGAGGCTCTAATATGCTTCTCTAAACAATTAGATAGAAAATTGGCAAAAATATAAGGGAATGCACCACTAACAATAACCAGCAAGATTCTACTCAACACTTGTAGAACATTCCACCCAACAACAACAGAAACCACAGTCATGTATTCAATGAACATAAGCCAGGATAGACCATCTCCTGAGACAAAACATATACCTGAAATAAAACCCGAAAATCCCCAAACATGTGGGAACTAAACACACTATGGGACACCATCAAATAATGGTAACGATGTAAAGATAATGAAGATTCTATAGGTGAATGTTTCTTTTAAAAAAAATAAACATGCCCGGCTATCAAAAAGTATAGCGTCTGGGGTCTTAAAGGCTTGAAGGTAATCAAGC